TTGGAAGCGTATATTGAAAACGACAAGAAAGAAAAACTTTTACAGTAAATGACCCACTTCCAAATGACCGCCCCCTCTACGCTGTCAAAACTGTATTCGACACCCCTCTCTAACTCTCCCTGTCTAATAGACGCCCCTATGAGAACAGACCTTGTCAAGGTTTTCGACGCCAACTTGACGAGTGGGCGAACGCGTTAGAAATTACAGTGTTTGTATCAGAAATCGAATAATTTTTGTAGAGCGGCTATTCTGAAAAAAAAAAAAGAATTATAAACTAAAGCTTCACTCCTAAGGATTCTACTGAAAAAAATTGAGGGCGTTACATGCACTGGAAGACTTGAAACCACTTTTTTAAATTTACTATCCATTTGTCTGTAAGAAATTCCAGGGAAAAATTACAGACAAATATATAGAAAATCTAAAGCAAGCCTCCCGAGAAATTTAAGCACAGGTACTCCCCTAGCCTGCGAAAACATCCGTTTCTCCTCGCTCTTCGCCGCAGGGGATGTTTTTCGCGAGGAGGAACGTCTGCGACTCAGTGGCAGAAATTCCATACTGATGATGCAATCCAATGTTTAAATAATAAATCCAGTAGTCATGGGGTTCCAAATACAAATTTGTTCAATTTTACGTGTCTTCTGGTCGATTTTGGTAAAGTGTTGTGTTCATCTGCCAACGAGCTGCAGCAAAACTCAAAGGCTTCTTCTAGAGAAGACTATATTCCACAAACATTGACTCTTTTGTTAGAGATTCTTCGTGTTTACATTTGACCTTTGTGGCCTTTTGTCTTTTGTCTGTCATTCATAAACAATAGCTAAAACAATGTATCTACTCCGTCGACCAATCAGTGCTTCTGACCGGATTCCGGACAGATTTTACGTCATCAGTATGGAATTTCTGTCGCTGAGTTGCAGACGTTCCTCTGCGCGAAACGTCCCCATCGGCGAAGAGCGAGGAGAAATGGATGTTTTCGCAGGCTAGTACTCCCCCAAAATGTTGAAGTACAATCCTTTGCTTTGTAGCTTTAGGTTTACTGTATGTAGTGTCGACTGATCTATCGATCAATATAGCCGTTGATAGTCTGTCGACACTCGTTCGATATAGGGGTTGACAGTCGGTTGAGACTGGGTCGATAGTCAGACGAGTGTGGGATAGACTATCGGCCGATATTTAGACAACGCACCTCGACCAACTATTGGTCATATGTTGGTGATATATTGGTCAACTGTTGATGGTATATCGGTCAACTGTCGGTAGTATATCGGTCAACTGTTGGTCGAATATTAGTCGTGTGTTAATTTACCTGTAGCAGGTGAGTCCAATGGCTTTCTTTTTAAGCATTGACGTAATTAATTACTGTTATCATGCGATGGGGGAACATGCTCTATGAAGCGAACCGAAAAGCACTGGGAACTAGGGAGAAACCAAACCGGCAATGATACCCAAAGATGAGTGATATCTTTCCACCAAGGCTTCCGGGTGGGCATAAAGAAGTTGAAAGTTGGCAAGGTTTTCGAGTTCCTCTGACGAACTAATAGAAACTTCCTCGATATCTTGGCAATCCGAGGCCACACGATCGGCTTTCAGGATACATGCTCTGAGCCCTGTTTCTCTTAATTTTGTCACCTGGTCTTTGATCAGCGCATTAAGAGGCGATATTACAATGACTATTGATTTTCCACGTTCAGTTGATTCGTCACGTTCTATGAAGTCAGCAAACGGTGCAATTGTTTGGTAAATCAACGATTTACCAAACCCCGTTGGTAGAACAGCCAGTACATCCTTTTTTTCAAGTACAGTGAGCTTGAGAATGGAAAGTTGTTTTTCTTTTAACGTGATATTTTGTTTACCAACTGCTTTCAATGCGTAGTTTACCGCCTCTTCGGTTAAAGAGGACGCCATGTTTGGTTTTGCTGCCACACATGCGCAATTCAACCGGAAGTCCGGTATTTTCGGACTTCCAATCGGATCTTTCCAGGGTCGCTGTTTCCCGACCGCTGGTCAAGGGGAACGAAGACGCTGGGTACGAGGGTGATCCGCCCCCTGGTGCTGCCTTAACCGCTATATTGGAAAGCGAGAAGACCCTGGGGACGAGGTTAGGCAAAATTTGGGGGGGAACTGCGCCCGCGTCAGGGCCGACCGCTGAAGAACGTCGAAGGGTTGTCGCCATATTAGTCTATATTGCGGGAGTTGATCCCTTAGCTTTTCACTGCCCTTTTCATCGTATTAGACAACTTTATTCTGGCCTTTTTCTTCCAATTTGAAAACCTAATGTGAAGATGTTGTTTGACGAGGAAGAGGTGTTTAAAGGTTTGACGGCTTGGTTTTCCTCTAGTGTTCCTGAAAGCGTGAGGTCTCAATGGGGTAAGGATAGTTGTTCAACTCTTCTGTTGACTTATAAAAAAGCTTAAGCTTAAAATAACCTTAAACTTGCAAGTTTGAATAATTCAGGCTTAAGTATAAGCTTATAACGTATGGAATACGCAAAGAAACCTTAAGAAAGCTACCCTCATCGGTTTTTTTCATAGCCGGATCTTTTATGGGGTTTATGCCTAACCATGTACAGCAGGCCTTTGGAAGCGTATATTGAAAACGACAAGAAAGAAAAACTTTTACAGTAAATGACCCACTTCCAAATGACCGCCCCCTCTACGCTGTCAAAACTGTATTCGACACCCCTCTCTAACTCTCCCTGTCTAATAGACGCCCCTATGACTTGACGAGTGGGCAAACGCGTTAGAAATTACAGTGTTTGTATGAGAAATCGAATAATTTTTGTAGAGCGGCTGTTCTGAAAAAAAAAAAAGAATTATAAACTAAAGCTTCACTCCTAAGGATTCTACTGAAAAAAATTGAGGGCGTTACATGCACTGGAAGACTTGAAACCACTTTTTTAAATTTACTATCCATTTGTCTGTAAGAAATTCCAGGGAAAAATTACAGACAAATGTATAGAAAATCTAAAGCAAGCCTCCCGAGAAATTTAAGCACAGGTACTCCCCTAGCCTGCGAAAACATCCGTTTCTCCTCGCTCTTTGCCGCCGGGGATGTTTTTCGCGAGGAGGAACGTCTGCGACTCAGTGGCAGAAGTTCCATACTGATGACGCAATCCAATGTTTAAATAATAAATCCAGTAGTTATGGGGTTCCAAATACAAATTTGTTCAATTTTATGTGTCTTCTGGTCGATTTTGGTAAAGTGTTGTGTTCATCTGCCAACGAGCTGCAGCAAAACTCAAAGGCTTCTTCTAGAGAAGACTATATTCCACAAACATTGACTCTTTTGTTAGAGATTCTTCGCGTTTACATTTGACCTTTGTGGCCTTTTGTCTTTTGTCTGTCATTCATAAACAATAGCTAAAACAATGTATCTACTCCGTCGACCAATCAGTGCTTCTGACCGGATTCCGGACAGATTTTACGTCATCAGTATGGAATTTCTGTCGCTGAGTTGCAGACGTTCCTCTGCGCGAAACGTCCCCATCGGCGAAGAGCGAGGAGAAATGGATGTTTTCGCAGGCTAGTACTCCCCCAAAATGTTGAAGTACAATCCTTTGCTTTGTAGCTTTAGGTTTACTGTATGTAGTGTCGACTGATCTATCGATCAATATAGCCGTTGATAGTCTGTCGACACTCGTTCGATATAGGGGTTGACAGTCGGTTGAGACTGGGTCGATAGTCAGACGAGTGTGGGATAGACTATCGGCCGATATTTAGACAACGCACCTCGACCAACTATTGGTCATATGTTGGTGATATATTGGTCAACTGTTGATGGTATATCGGTCAACTGTCGGTAGTATATCGGTCAACTGTTGGTCGAATATTAGTCGTGTGTTAATTTACCTGTAGCAGGTGAGTCCAATGGCTTTCTTTTTAAGCATTGACGTAATTAATTACTGTTATCATGCGATGGGGGAACATGCTCTATGAAGCGAACCGAAAAGCACTGGGAACTAGGGAGAAACCAAACCGGCAATGATACCCAAAGATGAGTGATACTGAGCTTTAAATACACACAGAAACATTTATAAATTTGAGTGAAGAAAACGGAGGAAAAATTTCCCTCTTCATCACTTGGTAAGAATTTCCCTTTTGGATGATGCTTTCTCGCAAATTCTTGAACAGACTGGTAACTGGCAAAAACAAGAGAAAAAGGAAAAGCGAAAAAAAAGCAGAAAAGTCTAAAGAGATTGAATTCGACTTTTGGGCATGCCCGTACCAAAAAATGTCACAAAATGGCAGCACCGTAGCTAGTATGAGGCCAACCGAGGCACTCGCCTCGGTAAAATTTTGACGAATTTCGCCGATCATTTTTATTTTACATAAGCGATCATCGGATATTTTTAACGCGTCATGATATTACAAAGAATTCAGCAATTCAGTCAATATACTATGAAAAAATTACCATATCATCGATCTCAAGGGGCTACGTACGTTAACTCAAATGTTTTTTTGAACAAATACTGATCAAAACCATTGGCGAGGTTAACGGTCACCCAGATTATGTAGCTTGTTTCTGATTATTGCTTTTTAAATTCCACTTAAATTAACTCGAAAAAAAGTTACCGAAAGGCCCAGAAAACGCTGCAAATCGCATTTCCGAGAGACTAAAGTTCAAAATGCCCCCGAACCCCCCTAGCAACTCCCGTCTGCCTCGGTTGGCCGTTTGGTCTGGCTACGGCACTGAACGGGATACTATTGCAAAGAGAGGCATGCTTTCATGTTTAATTTTGAGTAGTTTGGACTCATAACTGACCGAAAAATGTCCAAAAATGTGAATTTTTCAAGAATTTCCACGTGTAAATGGGTTAAACAACTCGGACAGCTAAAATCGGTTCATATTTCTTTAATTTGCTGCAATTTCTTCTTTAGGGCTACTGGTAATGGAGCAAAAACTATACAGACCGACAAAAATCTCGACCGATATATCGATAGACTATCGGCCAACTCTCGACCGATATATCGAACGGCTATCTTCTGACTATCAACCAAGTGTCAACCAACCATCGACCGAGTGTTGACCAATTACTGACCAATACATCGGTCAAGTATCGACCAACTATCAGTGGAAAGTCGGCGAAGTGTCGGTGAAGTATTGGTGACCGAAAAGCTATATCGGCCGAGATACATCTGGAACGACTATTGACTGTGTCTTGACCAAGTGTCGACCGACTATGGTCCGAGTCTTGACCGACTATTGACCGCTATATCCACTGAGTGTCAACCGACTATTGACTGCTATATCGACCGATAGATCGGTCGACACTACCTACAGTAAACATGATCCGCTTTAGTTTACAGTTGAGATTTTTTTCAGAAAAGCCATTTTATGGAAATTATTCCATGTTAGATTCTCATACAAACACTGTAATTTCTCACCTGTTTGCCTACTCATCAAGATGGCATTGAAAACTGTGAAGAGGTCTATTACTCCAAAATACTATGTTTTCAGACCAAAATAGTTGGGACACTTCCACCCAAAGCTGTCTTTAACCCAGATAAAAAAACGGTGAAGCCGGTTTTCCCAAGGAGAAGATTAAAGGAAGTTTGGTTGGGGCTGTGCTGCTGAAACCCTATGATTCTGACCCTGTTTAAGGCAAAATGTATTAAAATTGCAACCCTGTTTCATGAAAGGGACAGGTTCATAGTTCAGTGCATGCTCATTTTATCAAAATGCTGTTTTTCTGCTAGAACATGCTGTATCATCTATGCAAGCAAAATGATCGTGTCATAATGTTGTCAAAAACCCAATCTGCACACTCCCCTGGCAGTCACTTGTACTTGATCAACTTGAATATTTGCAAATAGCTGTAAATTAATCATCCATGGAATAAAACCTTCAGGTCAAACAATATATTCAACATGGTAGTGTTGGCATAATCCCTCTAATTTTTTCTGCGATTTTAGTACTCCTCCATCCTACTTCAAGTTACTCTGAAATACACTTCTACTTTGAAATACACTCTGAGATCGCTGAGATACATGTGAGTGGGATTATTAACTGATAGAATTAATAATAGATTGGAAAAAAGTAATTAATTAATGAGCATGTGCTTAACTGCGAACCTGTCCCTTTAAGACGTTAAATAGTGAATTTGAATATTTTTTTAAGTTTGAAGATCCCATTACCTATACCTGGCAGAGTGGCACATCCTGAGTGAGCCAAACATGGAAGTTTCCTCCCCTGGGCATGTGTCCATCTGTAAACTCCCAAGGGAACAATTTTCCACATATGGAGGCAAAGAAACAATGCAATTGTTAATGATGACATATTGTCAAGACATCATGACTAATTTCAAAATATGTACAAATGTGCTTGTCAACCATTTAAAGGATCAATTATTTCACTACAATACTAAAAAGCAATACTAAATTCTCAGTTATTCTAATAGTGCGTAAATTAAACATTCCTTTTACTAGCCTGCAGTGCAGGCGTTTTCTTTGAGTGGGCAATATGCTCACGGAAGCGCCATGTTGAAACTTCCCAAAGAGAGGCGGAGATGGGGCGAGTCAAAGGGAGCGGGGAGGGGGCGGGGAGAGAGAATAGAAAATGCCTGCCCGAAAACACTGTGAAAATGAGAAACACCCCCTAATTAGACGCGCGTGACTGCTCTTCCGAAGATGAGTAGCCAACAATAACAAAACAACCAAACAGTCGTTCCAGTCCAAAGACTTGCATTGTCTTAAGAAAAACAAGCTGGAGTTTATCATTGTTTTTATCTTGAATGAGTCACAATGCAATTCTCCACAGCCAATCTCTGTAAATCGCTATCTGTGAGAATTAAACATCCTGCAAACAATTTAAAAAACTAACGAGCTTGGCCCAATGTGATACAACATTGCAGGAAAACATCACATTCTCGGACTAGAAAGAAAATCGCTTAGTTATTCAGATCCTGAGGCACTTTGGACAAAAATAAATAATCTAACAGCCTTATTTAGTGACAAAAAGAGCTTTACGCTTCAAAAGAGGTCAAAGAAAACGCTCTTGCATCAGAGGGCAAATCATGAAGGCCAGAAATTCAAAAACCGCAGAAAATCAATAAGCGTGTCATTACCTCTCAGTGTGAAACAAGGGGCTAAAATCACATTTGCTCAGTCAAAACATGGAACCCTCTAGAGCATAGTCTACTCGCCAGAAACACAAAAAACAAAAAAACATTGGAACAAGCAGCATTTTGGCATGAGGTAAAAGTGGTATAGGTTTTAGTACTGTGAGCAAATCTTGTCCTGATGACCAGTGTAGAAATAGCTTTGACTTTCTCATTGCATAATACACGCGCATTCACAGCCACTCCAATTCCAAAAGACTGACGGAAAACGGAATAAACAATATAGACTTACAGTTAATTGACAGGCATCAATCTACTTCCCTATGCCACACCAATCAGGAGCTCCGTTTGCCAGCGTACGGAGTTTCCCAAAAGAACAATGATATCGGGCAGGCGTATTTTTTTCTGCCCTTCCCTTCCCCCCTTTCCTTCTTTCGCCCTCGCACCTACCGTAAAGGTTACTATTTCTACTCTCCCCAATCTTTCACTGTCATAAAATCAAAGATGGCGGCTACAACAATATTACGATTACGAACAAGGTTTCGCCCACCCAAAATACGCCTGCACCGCAGGCTATCCTTTTACAAGTACACTACCAAGCACAAGACAGATAATACAACTATAAATGTACTCTGAGTATTTTTTCTGTCTTTTTGCATTTGCTTCTTGCATTTAACAGACATGATTTTTAACATGTAAGAGATGAAACGTGATCTATGTCGTCAAAAACATTATTTTGTAGAAAACAGCAGAACGACTAGAGTCAAGATCTCAGAGATCGTGTGAATTTTCAGGGATTACAGGAAAATACATAGACTTTTCGGAAACAAAATTAGTTCGTCAAAGGGATAACTTGGATGTAAGCATAAAAATAATGTTAATTTTACGGTATCTTATCTTGTTCAATGTCAAGTTCAAGGAAAGGACAGAATAAGAATGGCAACACATAACCCTGAGCGAGGGTTCTGATATCGTTGTTGGGAATGGAAGGAGAAATGGGGATGGCTAGGTGGCCTAGATTTACAAACTGATGTCTTGGCTAGATCACCCAATCTACATTATTTCTGTCACCAGCTGCTGTGTTCATAGTACAAACGCTCTCTAACAAAGCACTAAATTTCGGCGCAGTTGATAAAGTGCAATACTTATGAAGCCCAACAGACTTCTTTGTTGTATGTTTTTGTTGGCTGTTTTGGACTTGACCGTGCACAACTTTCATATCATTTTGAGCTTACTGACCAATTAAGGAACATAGTGACTTTTCAGTCCAATTTTTGAACAAAAAACAAAGGATTTTGGTCAGGGAGCTTCCAACATAAACTGCAGTGCCGTTGTGTTCATCTTTGATATTTCCCGACTTTCATAATTGGTCTCCTTTACTAACTACGAATTCGGTCACTGAAAATCAATGTTATTCGTTCTGATATGTCCTTTTTCTGCATATTTTGTAAATAAATAAGAACACCAGGTCAGACTTTTAAAATCGAGGTGTTTTAAGCTCTCTTCATATTTTTGCCAAAAACATATTAGTTTTGTTGAGTTTTTTACAGTTACAAGAATAAATGCCTCTTATTTATTAAGCACCCTTGCTTGGACCTGAAGATTTATTGGGTCATTTACACCTCTCAAAGGTCTTAAGGGAAACAAGCCAAAGGGAAAAGTGTGTTTGAAAAAAATAAAAACAAGATGAGGAAAATTATACGAAGGAAAAAAACAGCTTCACCAGGAGCCGAACTGAGACCATCTGTGCAGAATGTCAACTCCAGTAGACCTCTACTCCATGCTGCCAACTTTTAAATAGAAGTGGAAAATAATTATGTTTATTATATTTATAGCTTTTTTGTGACATTTTTACTGTTAGACACTGTTTGAAGCTGGTGGAAGTGTCTGTATCATGAATTCGAAGATGTATTTGAAGAAATTTTGCAGGATTTTGGCGGTAGAAGGCAAACTTATGGCCGACATAGCTGATAAGCATCTCGCAAACCGTCCCAATCTCTGTGTGCCACTAAAGTAAAGTCCTGCCAAAAGGGGTTAGAAACTGGTTGGGTGACCAGCTGTGAATATCTTGTTGGAGTATTCTTACACTTTCACCGTTGTGTTCTTCTTTTTTATTTCATTGTCCTATGTCTTGATTCTTTTAATGTGTATTTCAGAGCATATTTTGCATTATTTTAGTTGCCACATGAATGCAAAGATAGGTTAAAGGGAAAACCAACGTTTTAACAGTAAAGAGCTCAACTGAAACTCACTTGCGAAAAACATAGCTTGCACAAAGCGAAATGCACTGCAGATGTTCTTTCATGTTGATTTTTGCTCTCTTTTTGAAGCTACTGGTCCAAATTGGTTGTTTAGTTTGCAGTTCGCTGTCATTAATTTGCATGAGAAACCTGTCGCCATTCATCAACAGTTAACAGTTTCTTACATAGGATGAATAAACACAATGTTAGGTTTTTGTGAATAAAATATGATAGTGCATGAAGGCGTGTTGCTTGGAAACGTTAAAATGTACCTCAAAAACACAATCAGTGACCTCATTGTTACTACCAACCTCAATACACATGTTCCACATGTGATGTGAATTTCTAAAAAATTGTAAACTCGTAAATTGCATTAAACCTAAGGTCGGATGTAACTGTTATTGTCTGGAGTCAAAATAAATTTAAAGTGTGACTGGGCAGAACATCAGATGGTAGCGGTGCAACCTGTCCCAAGAGTAGTTCTTATTTCTTGACCTTAACCACAGTTAAGAGTTGTTTGAAAGGCGAATAGTACTATCCACTGGATAAATCCCTATCCAGTGGATAGAGTAATTGGTTGCACCAATACTTGTGCAGAATAGTCTAATAAATTGTAATTTTAGAGTTGTTGTAAGTTTTTAACCTCTGATTTTTAGGCTGATAGCTTATCACACTGATTTGACTAAAACAGGTTTTAAAGTGAGGGCATGATGTTTCAGGAAACTTAGCTCCTGAGACTTTACCAGGGAGGGCTGGGGCATAACCCTCAACTCTCCCTCCCCCACACCTCTGGAGCATATTTTTTGCCTTACCGGTCAGGAATGGTCCCTAACCTGCTGAGCTGACATTTAGGGACAACAATGCCTCGGATGGGCCAGGCGTATGTTGAAGTTTCCAACTTAAAATGATTACTGAATTCAGCTTTTGCATGATAAGAAAAATTTTTGGTGATATTTTCTCACTCAGACTCTCCCGGTTTGCTGGTGATTCACAGTGTACATTGAGAAAGCAACACAGTGAATGCAGAATAATTGTTAATCATGAGGATCAGAGTAAAGTAATAATTGTTTTTTTTATCATCAATGGAAGATATATCCTCGCTGTTCTACCATTTGGCTTCATCAGGTCATCATCAAACACACATAGCTCAGATTTGTTGATTTGGTGGCACATTTTGAATAAAGAACATGGGTTAAGAATCAAAGCTAACTTTCACGCAATTTTTTGAAAATTTCTCAAAAGGGCATTAATAAATGGGTGTGCCTTGCTTACTTAGTGTTTATACAGGAACTAAACCATTACTAAATGTGCAATCAGACTTGATTCACGCAAAGCATTTCTATTCGGAAATCTTTATAACAATCAAGTGTGCATGAATATCATCTAATGAAGTCATACATGTACCTTACCTCTTTGTGACACTTAATGGTTTTCATTCTTGATAATGATGCTAGAAACATCAAATAATGTTACTTTTAATTTTTTTTTTGTTAAATGCTTCAACAAGTACGTTCTTAAAAGTGGTAAGTGGAGTTTGGTTACAGATTAGATATGAAATTATGGGGGGGGGGATTTATTCTACACGAAACAGGATTCCCTTGCTAAACTTTTTCATGTCCTCCTTTATTTTATTTTATCGACAGTCAAGTTTTCTTTGGGATGATATGTTTTTGAATAGAGCATTTCACAGTTGAGCTTAGCATCCTAGCCTTTGAGCGAACGTGGGACTGAGGCTGATTTTGTTTTGATACAAACCACCTTTTCTTATGGAAATTATGTTTAAAAAATACCAGTAAGCGTAAGAATGACATCATTTACATAATAAGGCAGGAAGGGTTGTATCAAAACATGGTAAACTCCAGTTGCAACTTTGAAATGGACTATTGATTGAGTACACGTTTCTAATAAATGAAAATCAAGGGCCTCCACTTAAGAGAAAATACATCATTCCCAAAGAGCAAAAACATGATGAACATGGTGTGTTATTTATATCATCCATGAAAATAAACCACATGCATGCTCATCTCAAGACTCATTTGTATACAGTGAAAGTCTACAAAACCCAACCAGCTAGGCTCCCCATTGAAGTTTTGCCCAAGACATGAAGATTCTTCTTTTTTTAACCAATAAAGTATTCACTTGTTCCAAAGTAATCATTGCTTTCAAGCAGTAGAATTTGTGGACCAAACTGTTGCGGAAAAGCTCAATGTGTCACCAACAGCAGGCTTGACTAACAAGCAATTGACCATGTGGTTTTATGATTACATGTAGGTACAAATAAACCAATCTCAGGACATGCTCTGTAATTTGAAATATTGAGGTCCTTAGTCGCATAATGCACCTCTTCCTAAGCTAAGCATTGGAAAATTTCAGCAACAAACAAATAAAATGCTGCGAAAATGCAAAAATGCTGTCTGCAATTTATTGTTGCAAACAGCATTTTTGTAGATAAAATTCCTAAAATGCACTGTGGCCTAAAGGAACCATCGTGAGACTTTGATCTGACCGGAAATCAACATAGTGAAAGTGGAACCAGTTCTTTTGTCAGAAAAGGTTATTATTTATTTAACAGCCCGGTCTGTCAACAATTGCTTAATTGACAAATTTCAAGGTAAAAAATTGCAAGCCAACAATGGCGGAGAATTACCCTTTTAAAACAAATTTCAGGGGCGTTTCCTCCTCTCCCCCTCTTCTTTTCTTAAATTTTGTTTTTTTTCCCCTTTGCTCTCCATTTGTGCCACTTTCAACTACCTGAATGCCTGGAAGAGGCTATTTTGGACTTGAAAGACTGTAGAGTCCATTTGTCTTTTACTTACCTATAATTGAGACCATGTATTATATGGCCCTAAGGTCATCATAGAATGTGTTTTCCGTTGTGTACAGTATGAAATCTAGGTATGTAAAGATCGTTATTTCAGCAGAACATATATTTTGTTTAATATTGCCTATCATATCTCTTATCTTAGTAGGATTTGTATCGGTAAGATGCAAACTTTACAATATGTTTGATCGCACCTTACCAGTGATGTAAGTCTCAATGGGCTTTTCCTGCCTGGTCTCGATTGTGCAACACTTGTGAAGAAATTATTTTACATGACAAAGTGAAACAATGCTTTATAGAGGTATTACAATGCCTCTGCAGTGTGTCGTTTAATTTGTCATTTACTATTTTCTTATTGTCTTTAAGGACAATGCACCTATTTTTTTTTGGGGGGGGGGGAGAATTAATGTATGGTTTTATTGTGTGCATGCAAAACCTCCTCGCGTCTCTATTATATATCAGTGCAATCTAAATGTTTGGGGCCTGTTTCTCGAAAGTCCCAATAAAAAAATTTTGGACCCAGAAAGCTGTCGTTTATATTTGAGATTGAATAATTGAATAATAATGATTGAATAATATATGATAACAATAACAGTTAACAAAATATGCATGGACCCATGCTTTTATTCTTTAGAATTAAATTTGACTTGGGGGCTGTAAGGTTACCAGGACTTTTGAGAAATAGGTGCCTGAGTTAACCACCCTCCCACTACCTGTCCTACTCATCTGACAGACATAAATTCTGTTGATCTTTTTTGGGAAACAGGTGACCAGTTTATCAATAAAGCAGTGCTTTATTGCTTGTTTTAGTAACACGAAAAGTAACAACCTGAAAAAGTAATTAACTGCTCCCTGGGCTGAGAGAAGTAGTTTTGAAAAACATAGTGTAGGTTTTTGTTTTTGTTAAATTATTGGGGTTTTTAACAATTCTTGGTATGATTTTATCACATATAGTCATGCATGGAGGAATTCAACAAGATGATGTAAATGATGCAGACTATATGTTTAGCAGCGATGCTGCTGCAGAAGATACTTTTTGGTAGGTGGAACTGTGAAGTCTGTAAAGTACCCTCTTTTCTTAGGTTTGTACTGTAAGGCTAAGTCTGTGCATGTTAAAACAATAAAGGTCTAAGCAGCAATCATAGTGTTTGGAGACAGTCAAATTTATGCTGTTTCAGATTCAAAAAGTGGAAATTTACGTACCTTTTCAACTCATTGCAAATGCATAGTTAATGGCGTAATTGTGCAATGTAAAACTCCCAAGTTCTGATCTGCATTAAACAGTGGGTAGTATACTTTCTCCATCATAGAGGAATGTTGCAATTTTTTGTGCTAGGTCATTTGCAGCCATGGCCCCACATTGAAATCATGAAGTTTGGATCTCTTCATCTTTATATAGTTATTGCCACCTGAAAACTTAGATTTCTTTTTATATACTTTTAAACTAAACTTTAGTTTTCATTAGATTTTCTTGTTTTCCAAAATCATTCTCTCTCAACTTGCGTGGTTTGTAATAACTTGTTTGTAATAACAACATCTCATTCCATTGCAGGGTTTTTGAGTCACTGAAATACCAGAATGAGGAATTAACTGTCTTTGACTCTTCATTAATTGAAGATACCCTTGCAGGTGGCATGGGCTATTTAAGTAGCAACATTTCAGGATCTCATATTCTCATTCATCCAGCATACCAAGAAGGTATTCTGTTTAAAATGATTATTTTGAAGAACGATTAAAATTGATCAGGCAAGTACAAGCATAACCTCTAGCAGCATGAACCCATATCTACAGAAAAGTGTCAGGAATTAAGACATGACTCATGCAAGGCTTACTTAACCTTACAAACAAGTTGATTCAAGGAACTTGGTGTGAAGACAAAGAATCACTATTATCAGTCCTCTTTGTTTCTAATGAAACATAGGTTCTCCACTAATGCTCTGACTAAGAAGTGACTTTTGCCTCATGCCATGTAAGGCCTCTCTTCTCAATTTCGGCCAACATCCTTGTGTGCCTTCAAGTGTGTTAGGGTCTTTCCTTGTCTTAAGCTTCCACTGTGAGTTCCATTTAAGGGCTGTTTTGGTCACATATCCATCTGGTCTCCTCAATTTGTGCAGGCCAATCCATTTCCTTGTTCTTTCTTTTATTTCCTGTTCTGTAAGCTGCTGCGTCTCTGCAACTCTTTATTTCGGATTCTTCTGCATCAGCAAATCCACAGAATGCTCCTTGGGCACTTGTAAATATACACCTGTAACTTCTGCTTCAGTTCCTCAATCAAAAGCAGGGCACCAAAACCCGTATGTCCGATTGTCCGGGACAGGTAGAAATTTGAACCTTCGACATGACTTGTCCATTTGAAAATTGAAATTACTGTGGAATTAAGGTTTATTGTATAGTGATAAAAGCAAACCTCCTACTTGACAAAATAAGGTCAAATATTCATATATTTCATTTTTCTTAATGAGCTTGCACCATGTGGCTAAGGAGCCTGGTAAAACGTTTTGGACACGAACTCTTTAGGGGCACCCAACGAGGATATAGTTCAAAACCACTTAACATAGCATTGTTGAACGTATTTTAGTATTCAAACGGTAGATATAGGCATATTTTTATCTCCTAAAAACTTTTCATCTGTTCGGATTTCCTAGCTGAAAGTCTAGTGATCCGAAAATTATAGGGATAAAAACTTACCTTCTCGAAAATTTCAGCCAGGAAAAGGCTTTCGAAAATTCTAGGTGGCCTTTTTTAGGGTCAAAATCCGTTAAAAATGGGTAATTATACCATTTTGTAGATGTTCGAAAATCCTAGAAGAGGCAGGCAAGCAAGAAATTTTACAACAAATGCTCCGAAAATTCTAGATCTCAAATCGTCTTCCGAACAGATGTTTTCCCGAAAATTGCCGTTGGGTGCCCCTGACCCTTGGGTTTTGGACAACCTAATTTAATATAGTGCTTGTCCGAGGGACAAGTGGATAAGAAAATACTCTTACTCCGAAAAGAGCGTGGCCTTTTCATCTGACCCAAAGATTCTCAACTTTATCCTGTTGTAGCTAAAAGTGATATCGAAGGCCATAATGGTGGTCTCAGCATCACTAACACCTGGTTCCCCTTCCCAATGCATGCCTGTATGTCTGCCAGCCTCATTTTCCCTTCATACTCAAAATACCCCCATGGTACATTGCTGTACCTGAACTCATCTCCCTCCTCAATCTACCCCCGATGATGTGCACTGGTCTTCAGGCCAACCTTCGCACTCTTGTCCCTCATGTTCTGTATACTGTGTGACAACAGGGCCAGATCATGGCGAAAACCCAGATCCTCTAGGATCTTTCGTGAAGGAACACTGTAAACCACAGAAGGCAAGAATAGTACTGTAGATTTTGGAAAAGATTACGGTGGTTTTGCATTTGTCATAATTAAGAATTTTCGATAAATTAAGTATAAGCTTGAAAAGTTACATACGTACACACATACTTTAGTAACGTGACTAACACCTAGCTATAAAGCTATTTTACAGGTCAGTCACAAACTAAAAACAAGCGTGGAAACTATATAAAATTGTTTAAAATGATACAGTGTTTTGAAAAAACTGCATAAAATTATAAACTTGTTAAACTTATATACTAAGAAAACTAGGTTAAATTGCGAATATAAGGATCAATAAACTTACAACTATATAAAAGTGTTTAAAATGATGTAGTACATGGAAACTGCAATAAGATTATGGAAACTATGTAATACTTAAATACTAAGAAAAACTTAGTTAAATTACGAAAGGGACTATAAACTTGCAAGGTCGAGCTCCTTGAGTCCACGTTTAAAACTGTGGTAACTATCAAAATTTCTTAAATTATTTGGAATAGTATTCCATAGTCGGGCAGCCTGGTATCTCCATGACTTGATCCCATACTTTGTTGAATTTACTTTAAGTAATTTTAAAATAGCATCACCACGTAAATTATAATTGAAATTACGTGCCGTCAATAACTCGGAAATACTTGTAGGTACGTTCCCATTCCCAATTGCTCCAAGCACTGTATTTAACATTTTTGCAAGTCTTTGATTTGCTAATGTGCTATATCAATTAGTTGTGTTTAATTATGAAAGGCAAGTACCCGAAGTATACGTAGCAAGGAAATAGAGCATTTCCAGAGAAAGTGCGAATAAAGCCCCGTGCAAACTGACGCAACATTGTTGGATGTTACATGTTGCGTCCGTTTGCACTCCCTGTTGCATGTTTTTGGGTGTTGTTAGGAGTTGTTGCGCAATGTTTGAAACCAATCAAACTTTTTGCTCCGTGCAAACGGACGCAACATTGCTGGCCAACAACTCCCAACATTGTTGAGTTGCATCCGTTTGCACGTAGCTTATGTTCTAAAATTCGATGAAGAACTAAATCATTAGTTACATCATTGTCACCTGATCTCCATTCGATTGCAGTAATAGCAACGGTAATAATTATAATAATAATAATGTTCAAAGTTCAGCTTTCCCGTTTTGGATAGTTTCGGCTCTTTAAAGCTAGACAAGGACCAAAATTGCTAGGAGTGAATGGGTCAAGGGTCTCTTTCTTCATTCCAAGTACAATGGAATCCCTGTTTTTCGAATAATTGATTTTTTGGAACTCAGGATTTTTCGAATCAAAAGTTGTTTCCGTTAGATTTGCTTTGGTCTGTAATTTTACCCCCAATTTTTCGAAACCCCTTCATTTTTGGAACCTCTCGATATTCGGCTTCCTTTCAGTAACCAACAAGAACCGGTTTTAGCTACATGCACCCCTGTATAAGCTTTCAACAAGAGCTAACCACCCGTTATTTTAAATAAATTAACTAATGCTACAATGTTTTTTTTTTACCGTGGACTTATAAATGGAAGAAGATGTAGTCTGAAGTCCCGGAAAAATTAACGCATATTGTTTATCAATTACAGTACTGTTTTTTGTATGGCTAAGTTGGGTTAAATCTTTTAAGTTACAGCACATGTAAGTTTTGTTCATAAATAAAGGTAGTAGATGCAAGAGTGAAATGCAAGAGTGTTAAACGTGTTTCAGAAGTTTAGATTTGGGTTACGTGTAACGCCATGATATCACGTGGTTATATCATGTGACTTGGTTGAAGGACTCGGACTCTAGGGTAGAGTTTTGACTTTAAAACTTGTCGAGATAGATTGGCTTTAATCGTCACTGTTTAACGGAATATAATCAACAAAGTAAGTAAACACACTTTATTTAGTGAGGGTAACACAAAAAAAGTATAAAAACAATAAATCGAGCTAAATATGAAAATGATTTAAGCTAAGCTGTTCTTTGAAAATTTAATTCCATAAACTCTTCATTTAACTCTCACTGTTGTTGTCTGCTGTTCTGCCTTTTTGTTTCTTATAGCACAACACCGTGGTAAAACAGGTGTGATTTGATGTCACCTTCGATTTTTCGAATTCCTGATTTTTTTAACAAATTTTCATTTCCCTCGGAGGTTCGAAAATTCGGGATTTCTATGTAGTTTTTTTGGTTTATATAATTTGGTTGTGTACTTTTGCAGAAATGGATAGTTTTTTGGAAAAGTGTCCAAGATTTTATAGGAGTAATGTACAAGCCGCCGCGGTGTTGGATAAAAAGAAAAAAAGAAATAAAAACAACTACCAAGTC